ACCAAGGCGTTTGACTGTGTCAATATGTCACGACATATTGCTTGCTAAATTGGAGTTTTATAGCATCAATAGTATACCAGAGAAGCTGATTAAATCTTACTTGACTGATAGATATCAAAGAACTTTAATAAATAATAATTATAGAAAGGGCGTTTCTGAATGGCAAAATGTTAAACAGGGTGTTCCACAAGGTTCAATACTTGGGCCTTTGTTTTTTCTGTTGTATATCAATGATCTGCCTTATGTAGTAAATAAATCATCCATATCAATTTTGTATGCAGATGATACTAGTATACTGTGTTCAAATTCCGATTCCACAGAACTCGAAACTACCTTGAAAGTGATTCTGCTAAAAATAAATGAGTGGTTTTCACACAATTTGCTAATGCTAAATTAAAGTAAAACCAATTGTGTCTACTTTGCAACAAAACTGAATCTGTTAAAAAACTTAAATATAATACATGTATAGTGATACTCTAATCCACAACACTTGTAATGTCAAATTTCTTGGACTAATCATAATACTTTGTCCTGGAAAGATCATATTAGTCGGATAGTAATTAAGCTGAGTTCAGCTGTCTATGCCATCAGAACTTTTTCTTCTGTTGTGTCCCAGGAGAGTCTACCGATGACCTATTATGCCTATGTACATCCCATTATGTCCTATGGAATTATGTTTTAGGGCAATTCTGCCAACAGTAATTTAATTTTTAAAATTCAAAAAAGAACAGTTAGAATCATTATGAAAGCTAGAAAAATGGACTCTTGTCATCCATTGTTTAGGTACCTAAATATTCTTCTGTTTTACTCACAATATATATTGTCACGTGTTGGCCATATAACGCGACAAATAACTTCACACCTTATTGAATATAGCGAATTTTATTCCACACTCGCTCAGACAATCACACAGTTTACAATCTGACAACTACTGCTATCTGCAGTATTACAATTACTTGACTGAATACTCTTCCCTGGCCAACTCGTAACTCATAACTCAACTCAACTTGCTTCGTAGGCTTCTGACACCAAATGTAACATGTTTCGTTACTGAAACTTGTTGGTAACGCGTGCAAGTCCAATCCCACTTCTGACACTAGTGTAACGTGTTTAGTCACTGAAGACGCTGTTCAGATTGTTAATTGGTTTAATTAACAACCTACAAGTCATAACTACAATTGATTATAACACTGTTGCGGGGTTTCACACTTTATAACCCTATTCGCAAGTATCTTCCTTCTATCCTCAGTAGTCTACAAGTCTTTATGACGCGGGAGTTATACAAGTGCAACTGTATCACACACGTCTGGTTCTTCTTTCCGCGACTGCTGCTATACTCCAACTGTCACTCCTGATCACACACTAACTGACTGACTTCCTGGCTAGATTCCAACCCGACTCGCATCGTAGGCTGCTGCCTTGAGAACTGTCTTTGGCGGCTGTGTATTTCCCTTATAAACCCTCAGCCGGACAACAGGAAACACCTCGCTTCCTTGTTGCCTAGTCGCCGTTTACCGATAGCCTAGCAACGCTGTTGGGAGTTGTTTATGGCTACACAGCAACTGCGGCGTCACATGTTATGTAATGGGTACCGCTGTTGGACTCGGCTCACTTCAGATCCGCTCAGAACGTCACGGCTGGTGGGGAGGGAGGGGCATCATCCATAGCGCAACACATCACAATATTTTCAATATCCATGTTTGTTGTTAAAAATATGGATACTTTCACACTAAATTCCGATATACATAATATCCATACCAGACAAAGTTTGGATTTACATCATTCAACTTATAAATTAACTAAAGTCCAAAAAGTGTCTACTGTTCGGGATTATATTTAATAATTTACCACAGAATCTGAAGAATATGACAAATGATGTTGATAAGTTTAAACATGCCTTAAAATTTTCTCCATATTGGCTCCTTTTACTCATTGTGGGAATATCTAGATTGGAGAATAATGGAAAACCTTGCTTATTACTAGGGCCCGGATTTCTATGACATGTCATATTTTTTTCCTAGGGTTTATTCCTATTTTTAAATGTAATTATGCATGTTTCCAGTCATTCTTATTGAAATTATGTCGTTTTTATTGTGCATATAAATGCATATTTTAGAGTTTTATTGGTTTTACAGCATATTTTGGCATAATTTTGAAATAAGGTCATATTTTTGTCATTTTAGAAACAATTCTTTGATATAATGTAAAATTTCGGTTCCATAATGTTTAGTATTACAAAATAAATTCCAGGCTGGACTGTTGCTTCAATGTGGAATAGAGTTCAAGTACATGAAGTTCGTATTAAAAACCATATTTTTGACTGGACTGTACTTGCAGTTACAAAGGCGAAAATTTGTGAAATGTAGCATTTATGACCTGGCAAGCCGGCTTTTCCCAGTCGAGGCGGGAGGGAGGCAAGTGTAACGGGTATTTTCCTATTGTACTCCATCTTACTATAAGGTATATACATCCCATTCTTTCTTGGAGGGCTTAGAAGTATTCTATTTATATATGTGGAGGGCGTTATAAGAATTCAGTTTGACCTTACAATGCCTAAAGTGAGTACATGTAGTTTAAGGAGTGCAATGTTGCGTAGTTTTGTACAGGAGTTTGGTGATAAAGTGTTTAGTACCGATGGCAAGATATTTTATTGTAAGTTGTGTGGCGTGAAAGTTACG